TTTGAAAGTGAAGTCTGAAGATCCAGAGAAAAATAAAATTCTCTGGTGAAATAAATTATTACAAATGAAGCCTTAAAAGTGGTCTGTTTTTTCTTTAAATTACATTTATATATATATATATATATATATATATAATATATATATATATATATATATATAAATGGACATTGAAGTCAGCATGCAGCAGTGACAGTATTAACGCTATTAAGGAGTGAGAGCAGTAGAAGAAAAGTAATCAAGAAGGTGGTAGATAATGATTGACATTGCATTTAAATTTCTGAAGATCAAAGTTAATTGGAAAGCAAGAAGCCAGAAGAGAAATCTACAGATGAGAAATGTGAGAAAAGAAACTGCCAGCATAGAACTTATGGTTACATCTAGCCATTTAAAATGTTGTTGCCAATCTAGTACTGCACTTAAATTCATAAAGTCTAGATACCATAGCAGAAAGTTCATCCAAACAATTACCATGAAATTATTTTTAGAAAAGGCAGAGGGAGGCTTCATTATGGCTGTGGAGAAAGTCATTGAAAACTGAGATGCCAGATCAGGACCAATAATATTGCTGATTCTTCTTTGGATTTTATCCATTATCTTTAAATATATAACAGTAGCACTGGGCCATATGTGGCTGATAGAATTGCAGGCTCGTGCCTTTTCAAATAAAAATATTATTATAATATATATAAATATTATTATAATGTATATAAATACTTTCATGGTAACTGTTCCGATGAACTCTTCACTATGGCACCTAGACATTTTGAATTTAAGTGCAGTACTGTTGTAGTAAAGAAAAGAAAAGACTGTCAACTTATAGTAGCAACTGCAATAGATTTCTTCTGTTTCTCAACCACAACACTTGTAACCAAATCGCAGTTCAAACAATAGCCTGTCGTTACAGTCCAACAAACGACAAAATGGGGTCACATGTCCAACCTTCACATCTCACAAGCAAAAAAATGCATGTTCCGCCAGCAGCTCGGAAAATCTTCTGCCTTTATAAACGAAAAACAACGGCTTTGATTCATTGAGAGATCTTTCTGATTGGTCACGCCATTCAGGGGAGGGGAGAACATTAGCATAGATTCTAGTCATTGAAGTAGATTTTTTCTAACTAATTTTTGTAATTTTTCTTCGGCAGATCGCACACAGAACACAAATTTTTTGGTGGCGGGGGTAAATGAGTACCTCCTTCACTACAAGTACTAAACTGGTGTCAAGATCTCATCAATTTTCACTTGAGGTGGCTAGATGCAACAGTAAATTCTATGCTAAATCTATGAGTATTTTCATGGCAATTTTTCTGACGAGTTGCTTTCTCTGGTTCCCAGACTGCAAGCAAACTACTAAGTTGGCATCTCGGTCCCACCCATTCATTGTCAAAACAGTTAAATGTAACTGTCTCATTCTACTCATACAGCTTCTTCCCTTGCACTTCCTGTCTGTGGAATTCTCTTCCTATTACTTGCTTCCTTGATAACTATAATCTTCAAATATTCAAGTGTAATGTCAATCGACATCTTCTGGTACTTTGATTTTGTTCCCTCTCCTTCTCTTTATCCGCTCCCCAAACACACTTCTTTACTCTTACTCTCTACCCTCTGTAACCCCTTGTCTGCACTCCCGCCTTGCTTGGGGTGAAATGCTTAAAAAAAAAAAAATCTATTTCTTTTCTCACACTTCTCACTTGTGGAACTCTCTTCTGGCGCCATGCTTTCCAACTAACTTTGATGTTCAAAAATTTAAATGCAATGTCAATTGCTATCTACTGTCATCCTGATTACACTTCTATTGCTCCTGCTCCTTAATAATATTACAGTTTTCTAATTCTTTCACACTCTATAGCCCCCTTGTGTCTTAGGGGTTTTTTGATTTTAAAAAAATACTATTTACATTATTCGGACTATTGTCCTCATCTTTGTTGCCATATTTATCACAATGTTTTGGCCGTTGTACACTCCGGCCTTCTTCAGGTAGTTGGTATGTCAAACGGAACCCTTTATTTTGCTCACTGGATTAGACAGATGGCACAGTGGATAAAAGCATTAGTTACATCCAGTGACAGGACCCAAAGAGTGTGAGTTCAATACCTGGTTAAGGTGGTGGAGAACTTGGAGAGGGGAATTAACAGGAGAATAGACATGGCACGTGGAACTAGAACAGTCTACTCCAGCAAGTGAAATAAAGGGTTCAGTTTGACATTCCAACCACCTGAAGAAGACCAGTATGTACAATGGCTGAAACGTTGTGATAAATATAGCAACAAAGATGAGGACAATAGTCCGAATAATGTAAATAGTGTATATAATACCTCATCTCAGAAATATAGACAGATAGAAAAAATACTGTTTTTAACTAAAAAAATTTGAAAAATTAATGATGAGTGCTAGGATGAGGTAAAACTGAACTGTTTCCTTTGTTCTGGTTTTAACTGATATTGAAATTTTAAGTCACTGACTAAATGTTGCTTGTGCATTATTTCTGCAGTCACAGATGGGCACATTCATTATGTGAAATTTATTTTGAATAGAAATACACAACAGTTAATCTTGTAGATATCTTTATTTTCTGCCAGAAATATTTTTATAACTTAATGCCACTGAGGTTAAAAATGAATTTATATTGGCAGATAACAAATTTGACTCATTGATTTTTGTGGAAAATTACTCAGGTGAAATCAATTGAGCAATAAATCAACCAATTAGAATGAATGAACAAGATGGTCATTTTCTGTTTTATATCACAAAGAATAACACAATTATTTCCAGAACTTTCATTGTCAATGAAGATAAATTTGACATAATCGAAGACAAAAATTGAATTTAATAAAGAAAGTTTTATCTGTTTTGTTTTTGACTGGGATTTGGTTTGCTTTATTAGTATTCTACTAACAGCATTTAACCTCTTGGCATTGCTAAAGAAACAAATATAGAATTTACCCACTAAAAATAATGTTGATAATAATAAAGAAATAATGTTGAATAAGAAATAAGAAACATAGATAACAACTCAAGTACATGTACCCACTAAAAATGATGTTGATAATAATAAAGAAATAATGTTAAATAAAAAACATGGATAACAACTCAAGTACATGTACTTACTAAAATAATGTTGATAATAATAAAGAAATTATATCAAATAAAAAATAAGAAACATGCATAGCAACTATACACTCAAACATTATCACATGACCAGTGTCATTGAAAATAACATATGAGTAACATTCCTAATGTGTTTGAATGGATGGCAGAACAGGATTTGGTTTGGTTTGTTTTCCGGTATATCAGTACCTCAATGGGTTATTTAATGCCGACAAGATTTTTATTGCTGGTAATATTTTTTTTTCAAAAAATATATTGCCAGTAATATTTTTCTTTTTCAAAAATGTACTGTTGATAATAACTTTTCCAAAAAGGTATTGCTGGTAGTAAAACCTATTTTTGTAATTTTATAGTGTTTTGACCACTTTGGGGGTGGGGGGGTAACTACTTGACCATAGATGGGACCCTGACAGGTGCCACCACCCTGGGTCAGGGCAGACCTGACGTCACCAGCAATTAAGAGGTGGTTCCATGCTTCTAAAAACCTCCCGATCAAAGTCCTTGCTGTCAGATGTAGTTTATCATCTTACCCAGAACACGGATGTAATTTATTGTCATACACAGGATGGTAAAAAGGTTTTAAGAGTTTATAGCAAAAAAAGCAACACTTACTAAGAGCTACAAAGGATAGGAAGTTGTGGGGAGCCATGATCACTCATGTCCTAAAGGATCAAGACACATAGAAGAGGAAAAAACCTTTATTTATACACTATTTACAACGAACTTGAACCCTTTGTTTCGCTTGCTGGGGTAGACTGTTCTAGTTCCACATGCCATGTTTAATGGATGTCAGTTATTAAAGGCTTCAGTTTGACATTCCAACCACCTGAAGAAGGCCGGAGCATACAATGGCCAAAACATTGTGATAAATATGGCAACAAAGTTGAGGATGATAGTCCAAGCAATGTAAATAATGTGCATAATACTTCATCTCAGAAATATAGACAGATACCTTTATTTATAGTTTATTTTTTTTTTACAAATTCTGATTCATTTGCCATAATTGTACCCTTCATATCTGCAATATAATTTGCCTCCATACATGTAGATCTTGTTTGCTCCTAACCAAGTCTATTTTTTTGTTTCTGCCTACCTTAGTCCAACTCTACCCTCAAGTCATCATGTGGTTTGTTGCCATTGTATTTATCCTTGCCTTTCACCATTTACCTGAAACTTTTCTAGATTCTGTAAATCATTTTTCTTACAATGTCCTTTTCTTTTAAATCTTCATGTCCATTATTTTTTTTATTGTTGTTTGTATTGTTTATAGTTGTCAGCAATAGGGAGAGTCCAACATGCAGATTCTAAATTGGGAATACCAAAATAAAACAAGTACAAAAATTTAAATATTTTATCAGAGCACAGAAAGTGTGACACTGAAATCTGAAGTTGCATTGGGATAGTAAAAGACATGTTCCAAATGCTAAGCAAAGTATTAAGAAACAGAAAAACTTCACCGAACTCTTATGCAATATCAGTCCTCTTATATGGCAATGAATGTTGGACAATCTTCTCAGATGAAGGAGAGACTTGAAGCAACAGAAATACCATGGGCCGCACAGGTGAGCAACAACAAAGTTTTAGAGAAAATGGAAACAAAAAGAATATTTCCACTTAACATCAGGAAGAGATAGTTGAAATTTCTAGGGCACATACTGAGGAAAGAGGGCTTGAAAAATTTGATACTCACAGGACAGATTGAAAGCAAGGGGATAGAGGAAAACAATGCATAACCTACCTAGTAAGCTTGAGTAAATGGATAATGGAGAAAGGTTCAGGAGAGATAACAAAAAGACAATGTTTATTAAGAGCTACAAAGGTGAGGAAATTGTAGAGAGCCATGATCACCAATGTCCCCATATAAAAACAATCTTCTGCTACATCCTACCTTAGTTCTTATTCTCAATTCTATCTTTCCTTTCTTTTTCTTCTTTGTTTTATTTTTCTCCTCTCTTTTTCTTTTCTCTTTCTTATTCTTCCTTTTTATTCTTTTTTCTTTTTTTTTTTTATTTATCACCTTTCTTTTCCTTCTTGTTTTTATTTCTCTTCTTTTTCTTTTTTACATTTCTCTTTCTTTCTTTCTTTCTCTTTCTTCCTTCTTTCACTTTCTTATTTCTCTTTTTCTTATATTTTTATTCTCTTTTTTCATTTCTCTTTCTTCCTCTTTGATTCTTTCAATTTCTTCTTCCTCATTTTTTTATTTCTCTCCTTTTTCTTCCTTTTACATTTCTCTTTCTTTCTTTCTCTTTCTTCCTTCTTTCACTTTCTTATTTCTCTTTCTTATTTTTTTTATTCTCTTTTTTCATTTCTCTTTCTTCCTCTTTGTTTCTTTCACTTTCTTCTTCCTCATTTTTTTATTTCTCTTCTTTTTCTTCCTTTTACATTTCTCTTTCTTTCTTTCTCTTTCTTCCTGCTTTCACTTTCTTATTTCTCTTTTTCTTATATTTTTATTCTCTTTTTTCATTTCTCTTTCTTCCTCTTTGATTCTTTCAATTTCTTCTTCCTCATTTTTTATTTCTCTCCTTTTTCTTCCTTTTACATTTCTCTTTCTTTCTTTCTCTTTCTTCCTTCTTTCACTTTCTTATTTCTCTTTCTTATTTTTTTTTCTCTTTTTTCATTTCTCTTTTCTTCCTCTTTTTCTTTCTTTCTTTCTTCTTCCTCATTTTTTTTATTTCTCTTTTTTTCTTCCTTTTACATTTCTCTTTCTTTCTTTCTCTTTCTTCCTTCTTTCACTTTCTTATTTCTCTTTTTCTTATTTTTTTATTCTCTTTTTTCATTTCTCTTTCTTCCTCTGTGATTCTTTCAATTTCTTCTTCCTCATTTTTTTATTTCTCTCCTTTTTCTTCCTTTTTACATTTCTTTTCTTTCTTTCTTTTCTTCCTTCTTTCACTTTCTTATTTCTTTTTTCTTATTTTTTTTATTCTCTTTTTTCATTTCTCTTTCTTCCTCTTTGTTTCTTTCAATTTCTTCTTCCTCATTTTTTTTTTTTCTCTCCTTTTTCTTCCTTTTTACATTTCTCTTTTTTTTCTTTCTTTTCTTCCTTCTTTCACTTTCTTATTTCTCTTTTTCTTATTTTTTTTTATTCTTTTTTTTCATTCTTTTCTTCCTCTTTGTTTCTTTTTACACTTTCTTCTTCCTCATTTTTTTTTTATTTCTCCTTTTTCTTCCTTTTTTACATTTTTCTTTCTTTCTTTTTTCCTTCTTTCACTTTCTTATTTCTCTTTTTTTATTTTTTTTATTCTCTTTTTTCATTCTTTTCTTTCCTCTTTGATTCTTTTCTTTCTTCTTTTTTTTTTTATTTCTCTTTTTTTCCTTTTACATTTCTTTCCTTTCTTCTTCTTTCTTTCTTTCTTTCTTATTTCTTTTTCTTTTTTTTATTTCTTTTCATTTTTTTTTCCTTTTGTTTCTTTCACTTTCTTTTCCTCATTTTTTTATTTCTCCCTTTTTTCCTTTTTACTTTCTTTTTTTCTTTCTCTTTTCCTTCTTTATTTTTATTTTTTTTTTATATTTTTATTTTTTTTTCATTTCTCTTTTCTTTCTTTGAATTTTCTTCTTCTTCATTTTTTTTATTTCTCCTTTTTCTTCCTTTTTACATTTCTCTTTTCTTTTCTTTCTCTTTCTTCCTTCTTTCACTTTCTTATTTCTCTTTTCTTATTTTTTTTTTATCTTTTTTTCATTTCTCTTTCTTCCTCTTTGTTTCTTTTCACTTTCTTCTTCCTCATTTTTTTTATTTCTCTTTTTTCTTCCTTTTTACATTTCTTTTCTTTCTTTTCTTTCTTCCTTCTTTCACTTTCTTATTTCTCTTTTTTTTATTTTTTTTTATTCTCTTTTTTCATTTCTCTTTCTTCCTCTTTGTTTCTTTCACTTTCTTCTTCCTCATTTTTTTATTTCTCTTTTTTCTTCCTTTTACATTTCTCTTTCTTTCTTTCTCTTTCTTCCTTCTTTCACTTTCTTATTTCTCTTTTTATTTTTTTTTTTCTCTTTTTTTCATTTCTCTTTCTTCCTCTTTTGTTTCTTTTTCAATTTCTTCTTCCTCATTTTTTATTTCTCTTTTTTCTTCCTTTTTACATTTCTTTTTCTTTCTTCTTTCTTTCTTTATTTCACTTTTTTTATTTCTTTTTCTTTTCTTATTTTTTTATTCTCTTTTTCATTTCTCTTTCTTCCTTTTGTTTTCTTTCACTTTCTTCTTCCTCATTTTTTTATTTCTCTTTTTTTTTCTTCCTTTTTTATTTCTTTTTCTTTTCTTTCTTCCTTTCTTCCTTCTTTCACTTTCTTATTTCTCTTTTCTTATTTTTTTTTTTCTCTTTTTTCATTTCTTTTCTTCCTTTTTTTCTTCCTTCTTTCACTTTTCTTTCTTCCTCATTTTTTTTATATTTTTCTCCTTTTTCTTCCTTTTTATTTTCTCTTTCTTTCTTTCTCTTTCTTCCTTCTTTCACTTTCTTTTTTCTCTTTTTCTTATTTTTTTTTTTCTTCTTTTTTTCATTTCTTTTCTTCCTTATTTGTTTCTTTTTTTTCATTTTCTTCTTCCTCATTTTTTTCATTTCTCTCCTTTTTTTATTTTCCTTTTTCATTTCTCTTTTTCTTTCTTTCTTTTTCTTCCTTCTTTTCACTTTCTTATTTCTCTTTTTCTTATTTTTTTATTCTCTTTTTTCATTTCTCTTTCTTCCTCTTTGTTTCTTTCACTTTCTTCTTCCTCATTTTTTTATTTCTCTCCTTTTTCTTCCTTTTACATTTCTCTTTCTTTCTTTCTCTTTCTTCCTTCTTTCACTTTCTTATTTCTCTTTTTCTTATTTTTTTATTCTCTTTTTTCATTTCTCTTTCTTCCTCTTTGTTTCTTTCACTTTCTTCTTCCTCATTTTTTTATTTCTCTCCTTTTTCTTCCTTTTACATTTCTTTTTTTTTTCTTTCTCTTTTCTTCCTTCTTTCACTTTCTTATTTCTCTTTTTCTTATTTTTTTTTATTCTCTTTTTTCATTTCTCTTTCTTCCTCTTTGTTTCTTTCACTTTCTTCTTCCTCATTTTTTTATTTCTCTCCTTTTTCATTTCTCTTTCTTCCTCTTTGTTTCTTTCACTTTCTTCTTCCTCGTCTTTTTTTATTTCTCTCCTTTTTCTTCCTTTCTCTTTCTTTCCTCTCTGTTTTTCTTTCTTTATTTCTCACCTTTCTCCTATTTTTTTAATCTTTTCCTTTTTTCTTTCTTTCACTTTCTTCTTTCTCTTTTTCCTTTTTATTTCTATCCTTCTTTTCTTTCTTTCTTTGTTATTTCTCTTTATTACTCTCCTCTTTTTCTTCCTTTTTTTCTCTCCTTTCCTTTCTCTCCTCTTGTTTTTTTTATTTCCTGCCTTTCCCTCTCTCTTTTTCACCTACTCCATCTATTTCCTCTCGCATCTTATACTGCATCCCCAGCAACAGTTCATCCTGCTACAATGACCACCACCACCAACACCAACAACAACAACCACCACTACCACCACCAATCATAATAATGCCAGTATATTCACATGACCATATTTCAACTCTTATCCCAACACAGGTGGCCTTTGAAATGGACACAACTGCAGCTATAGTGACACAGATATTTGTATTTTCTATGACTTGTGCAAATTAGCAGCAGGCAATGATGTTGATATAATATAATGGCATATATCTCGGCTTGCCTTTCAAATAAGGTACAAAATCGGGGTGGGCTAGGTGTAACCAACCAGGTTATGATTAATAAATAAAACTTGACGAGAAAATCAGAAAGCTAAGTAGACATCATAAAGTTACATTATTTTTGGTTATGTGATTGCAATGTGGCAGTGTGACATTATCTGAATCCACTAGAGGATAGGATAATGAAATCATGGTTACTATGGAAACTTAGTTGAGTTGGCCGATGACTACATGACATTTATATATATATATATATATATATGTATATATAAATGTATTTTTCAGTGTGTCTGAATTCTCATTCCTTGTCTGTAGGTGCTGAATAAAAGTCATTCACAGACAAATGGCTGTTAGAAAAAGAAAAAAAATAGTTGGAGATTATAGTTTGTTAATATTAATACAAAATGATGTAATATTTATACAGACTGTATTTTCACTGTAATGAGATTTGTGTGGGAATCTCTGTCATAAAAAAAAAGAAAAAAAAGATACCCATGAAGAAAGACTGTAGTACAGATATTTACCATGTTTGGACAAGTCTGGCACAAGGCCACAGTGGTAGAGTAGAGATCAGAATGACATGTGAGACATGCTTGCTGACCACTGGTCTATATGATATAACGGCCAACACACAACATCAATTTTATAAGTAAAGCACTTTTTAAGAACTCAGTGAATATTTTTTTATCAGACATTACTTCCTACTTCCAAACATTATTTTTTGAATATCCATGTTTTCCATCAGGTAAATCATACCTATAGCCAATTTGGCTACAGAGACCAGATTGATAAAACAAGGTTTAAATTAAAGGCATGATTTGGCTATAAAAACAGTTTACCCGATAGAAATGGGAATAGAGGTTTGATTCCTGTCAGAGGTATAATCTATCCATTAAAGATAATGTTTATAGTAATGAAGAAATATATAAACTATGAAAAAAAGAAAACGGTTTTGTTTTTTTCTTTTTTTTTTTTTTACAGTAAAGTTCACCCTGCACAAGGCCCAAGGGCCACTCAAAGTAGAGGATTATGTTAAGTGGTGGTTTATATGGATAGGGGAGAGAAGATAATGGTTAACTCTAGACTTTAACAGGTTACGGCTAAGTGGTCGGAGAAACATCCTCTTGAGAGTCAGTTCCACAGAGCAGAGGTTTGTGGGAAGAAGCTGTTTGAGTGGAACTTATCCCAGCCAGATCGAATACAGAGGAAAAGTGGCAGATTTGCTACAATGTAAGTGGCATGGTGGTTCCTAACTGAGAAGGTTAAGACTAGTGGAACCAAGTTCGTCTGAGCACTTTCCATGGAAGTAGCAGTAGAGTCTTGCCACATCCTGCCTGTGAAAGAGAGTTTGGAGGGTGGAAAATAATTTATTACCCACAAGGACTCTTAGACGCTTTTCTCAATATGGGAAAGTGAGGACTGGGCAGCTCCTGGCCAAATATTGAGGAGTAATCCACAGTTACCTCCCATGTCAAGAAATGGTATCTACCTTCCACTATAAAAATAGAGCATCAATGAGGAAAGGAACAATTTTGATTCTATGCATTAACGAGTTTGAACAGCAAAACAGTCAAAGACTTCATCTTCTCTTCTTTACTGCACCTGTAATTTAATACACTTAAATTAAACACCACATGATGTCAGAAAAAACTTATGTCATATAGCATCCAAAAGAAAAAAAAATGTTACCATGAAAAAAAAGGCATTGGAATATACAAGTGGACTAAAAAAATTTACAAAAATTTTTAATTAAAGTCATTTTTTTTTTTTTTTTTTTTGCAAAAAAAAAATTATTTGCATTTAAACTACAGATTTTCAAAGTAAAAAAAAGAAAAACAAATTTTTGTTTATTAAAAAAGATGTCTAGTCCAATTGATGACTTATCCATTGTACGGCAAATGTCCAACTTCCTGCAAAAAGGGTTTCATCAGGGAATTTGGTAACTAACTGGAAAAAAAAAATTGACTCATTGATTTTTGTGGAAAATTACTCAAATAAAATCATTTGAGCAATAAATCAACCAATTAGAATGAATGAACAAGATGGTCATTTTCTGTTTTATATCACAAAGAATAACACAATTATTTCCAGAACTTTCATTGTCATTGAAGATAAATTTGACATAATCGAAGACAAAAATTGAATTTAATAAAGAAAGTTTTATCTGTTTTGTTTTTGACTGGGATTTGGTTTGCTTTATTAGTATTCTACTAACAGCATTTAACCTCTTGGCATTGCTAAAGAAACAAATATAGAATTTACCCACTAAAAATAATGTTGATAATAATAAAGAAATAATGTTGAATAAGAAATAAGAAACATGGATAACAACTCAAGTACTTGTACCCACTAAAATGATGTTGATAATAATAAAGAAATAATGTTGAATAAGAAACATGAATAACAACTCAAGTACTTCTACCCACTTAAAAAATTGAAGGCAGCAGGAGTTATGTTAAATGAAAAATGTCTTTTTTCTGTCAGTAACATAAAGTTTATTGGACTTTATTTATTCATTACAAAAGATGGCACTGAAATTGATCCAGAGAAAGTCAAAGCAATTATAGAGTTACCTTAACCAAAGGATGTATCCGAATTACAAAGACTGCTATAGGCATGATAAACTACGTAGGAAAATTTGCTCAGAATTTAGCAGATGTTACTAAAATCTCTCAGAGTTTTACTGAAGAAAGAAAACATTTACACTTGGAAAGATCTACAAGAATTTGATTTCCAAACACCAAAGAAAGATGTTGAGCTCGTCGCCAATTCTAACCCGTTATAATGCCAATAATCCAATGAAGGTCTCAGTAGATTCATCTTCATACAGCTTAGATGGGATTCTTCTGAAAAAGTAAAGGAATGAATAGAAACTATTTTTTTATACATCAAGATGAATAGGGATCAGTGTTTTATTGCTATATTCCATGCTAAGAGGAATATATACTTGACAAACATGGTGGATAAAATAAGTAAAGGTTTATTGTAAAAACCAGTACAATAAGAAATAAGGTAACACTTATGCGCACGATCGTCACAAGTCAATCCAGTAGTGAGGGCTGCTATTGGAAGGTCGGTAGTTCTTGCGTAAGGCTGAGTCATACTCTACAGATCCCAGCTAGACTCTGTAGTTCGCTGACTTACAGGTACTTATAGGTAGTTACTGCCTACAGTGTAGTTACTCATTGGGGTGACAGGTTATTCCATTACATCATTTATGCAGCAAGATCTCTTACAATGACTGAGCAAAGATATGAAAAAGAGGCTTACCAGGTGATGTGAGAAGTTTGCTGATTTCCTATCTCAAAGTTTATTATAGAAACGAACCAAAAAACCACTACAGATACTTCTAAAAAAGAAATGTCTGGATGAAATGACCCCAAGGATCCAGCAGTTTTTCCTGTAATTTAGTACACCTAAATTACACCACAAATATGCCAACAGTGCTCCATTTTTAGCCTGACCTGATTCTTGTGAAGGTAGAGGATAGCATGGGGTGTGAGGTACTTACTGGAGCGATATGTCTGAATTAGTAGGATATAAAAAATTTTATTCTGGACTAATTCATTCAAAAGTCATCTCAAAGAGCAAACATAAAATACTAGAAGCATGAAACCATATATTCCCTGGATATGTTGATGAGGATTTTAAATCTATTGCAGAAAAGCTCAGGGGGAATGAAGAAACAACTTTCAACAAAGCAAGAAGAATCATATTGGAATATAAAGACACACACACACACACACACACACACACACACACACACACACACACACATATATATATATATATAATGGGATGACAGGGTAAAAAATAATGCAATACTGAAGAAATTTAACATCACAGGCATTGAAACCATTCTAGCAAAGATTTCAACTTAGGTGGGCTGGTCATGTTGTGAGAATTGATGAGCATAGGCTTCCAAAAAAGGTGCTGTATGGACATCTACCAAACTGCAAGTGTTTACTTGGATGTCCACTCTTGTACTACAAAGACAAATTAAAAGACAACTTGAGACTCAAGCACCGTGATGAGCTTCATCAAGCTCTGAAGTAGAGACGCCATCAAAATCCTGCTTTAACAAATTTCATCTGTCAGTGGGGCTTTGTCACCCACAGCAAAGCTGGGCTAGTATCACACTTAAGAAAGCACAAATGAAATATGACTTTCCCTTATCTGATTTTCTGTACAGTATCCCCTGCTAGCATGCATAAGTGTAAAACGAAAGGCACCATCCAATGCTAACCCTCATTTATTGTTCACGATAGGAGAGTCCACTATATATATATATATATATATATATATATATATGTACACAAGGGGTTCTCAACTTAAGCAGAGTTATGTTCCTATGATGTGTCATAATGTGATTTTCCTGGTAAGTCAGAATGTATCTGCAATATTCCATGAATAAGCACTTATGTCACTCACCTATGCTAATGAAATAGTAAATAATCAAGGTCATAACAAGACATTTTTATGACATGTGTTAACATAATTAAAATTATTTTTGCATTCTTTGGCCATGCAAATATATACAAGGCAAACAACATAAGATAAAACAAGATTAAGAGAGATTGTATCATAACTATGAATTGTTGTAGGCTGGGGACTCTCATAACCAGGCAACTTATATATATATATATATATATATATATTTATATTAAAGACATATTTTATGTTTAACGTTGTTATTTTATAGATACAAGTATTTAAGCAAATGCTCTGTTTATGATAAACAGTATTAAATAACATTTACCGGCCTGAATGTCCGAGAAATTTTCATAGAAAAATATTCGTTCCTTTGACAGGATTCAACCTGCATCCTATACGGAACCGTCATATACGCTGACGTGCCTTACCGCTTAGGCTACAAAGAAGCGTTCGTAGACAAGGTCGAATTTACTGCTTATAAACTCCAATTTTCCATGAATCTCGTACATTCATAACTGCTCTGGCGTATCGAATGTAAACAAATGACGTCATATATTAAGAAAATGGACAAGGTCCGACAATTTATTTATTAAAGACATATTTTATGTTTAACGTTGTTATTTTATAGATACAAGTATTTAAGCAAATGCTCTGTTTATGATAAACAGTATTAAATAACATTTACCGCCTGAATGTCCGAGAAATTTTCATAAAAATATTCGTTTTTTGACAGGATTCGAACCTGCATCCTATAATGAACTGTCATATACGCTGACGTGCCTTACCGCTAGGCTACAAAGAAGCGCTCGCAGACAAGGTCGAATTTACTGCTTATAAACTCCAATTTTCCATGAATCTCGTACATTCATAACTGCTCTGGCGTATCGAATGTAAACAAATGATGTCATATATTAAGAAATGGACAAGGTCCGACAATTTATTTATTAAAGACATATTTTATGTTTAACGTTGTTATTTTATAGATACAAGTATTTAAGCAAATGTTCTGTTTATGATAAACTGTATTAAATAACATTTACCGGCCTGAATGTCCGAGAAATTTTCATAGAAAAATATTCGTTCTTTGACAGGATTCGAACCTGCATCCTATACGGAACTGTAATATACGCTGACGTGCCTTACCGCTTAGGCTACAAAGAAGCGTTCGTAGACAAGGTCGAATTTACTGCTTATAAGCTCCAATTTTCCATGAATCTCGTACATTCATAACTGTCTTCTGTGCGAATGTAAGCAAATGACGTCATATATTAAGAAATGGACAAGGTCCGACAATTTATTTATTAAAGACATATTTATGCTTAACGTTGTTATTTTATAGATACAAGTTTTAGCAAATGCTCTGTTTATGATAAACAGTATTAAATAACATTTACCGCCTGAATGTCCGAGAAATTTTCATAGAAAATATTCATTCTTTGACAGGATTCGAACCTGCATCCTATACGGAACCGTCATATACGCTGACGTGCCTTACCGCTTAGGCTACAAAGAAGCGTTCGTTCTTTGAAAATTTCTCGGACATTCAGGCCGGTAAATGTAAATCCTGTCAAAGAACGAATATTTTCTATGAAAATTTCTCGGACATTCAGGCCGGTAAATGTTATTTAATAATGTTTATCATAAACAGAGCATTTGCTTAAATACTTGTATCTATAAAATAACAACGTTAAACATAAAATATGTCTTTAATAAATAAATTGTCGGACCTTGTCCATTTCTTAATATATATATATATATATATATATGATAGAAATTAAGGTGGATTTGAGATAATTAAGTAATTCATTGAGTCTAGAAGAAACCTCAACAGAATGCAGAAAACATTGGACGGCCGTTTTGTCCTATATTTGGGACTCATCCTGCAGTGCGCATACACTACCAAGAATTGAAACCCCAGACAGTTACATTGACAGGCAAATATCATACCAACGGTACTAACGTGATAAAGAGGTAGCGAACTAGACTCGATATTGTGCTGCTTGTTCACATATTCCGTGGTGGAACTAAACCAAGTTCCTTTACCCATAGGACTGTGCCTCCAAAAGCAACGACTACCATCACCAAGCCACTCCAACCAGAGCATTAGAAGCCGGTTCAAGCAAGGATATACAAATGATAGAAATTAAGGAGGATTTGAGATAATTAAGTAATTCATGGAATCTAGAAGAAACCTCAACAGAATGTAGCTAAATAGTATAGCACGTCAGGCTATATGACGGTTCTATGTAGGACACATATTTTCTATGAAATTTCTCAGACATTCAGAATGGTAAATGTTGTTAATATTATTATAAACAGCACTTACTTAAATATTTGTATCCATGAAATAATGTATAAACAATATATATATATAATATATATATATATATACATACATAATATATATATATATATATATATATATATATATATATATATATATATATATATATAGGAGGCATGGTGGAGTAGTTGATAGCAGCTCAGCTTGAGGAATTGAAGAGCTGAGTTGAATACATTACATTCAGTTACATGCTAATACCCTTGGGAAAGGTATGAATCCTCTTCTTCTCTCCCCAGCTAGGGGTAAATAGCAGGACAAACTGGGTTCTATAGCCTTGGATGGCAACTGGTCTAGAAGAAGGACAACTCTTAATTCAAAACCTGCGAAGAGTCGTTTGGGGACCTTGTGGCACATAGTACACCAGGTCTCTGTATTCATCCTTTCAAATCGTGTGGTTGGTTCTGCACAAAACCTTCACCACTATAATCAAATCATATGTGCTGTTGGTTCCTAGGAACTGAGCTGCTTGACCCTCACACGTTGAATACGACGGGAGTGTCCACCACATATATATATATATGTGAAAAGTGTATATAAATATAAATAAATATATATATGTATAATTATTTATATATTATATGCACGGTACTTATTAGAAAGCGCTCAATATCAGAGATAGATATTTGGTTGGATAGATATTTTGTTTGTCTGACGATCGCTAAAGCGTGAAACCCAGGGTCACAAACTCACATCTATCCAACCAAATATATATATATATATATATATATATATATATATATGGTGCAAAAATTGTCGCCATTTTATATTTTTATTTTGCACATGTGCGTTGTTTGTTTTAGATTTTGTCAACTGCACAGTTTTGTGGGGTCAGTTGGGCACTGTCTATGAGAAAAAGAGCACCATGAAATTTGGAAACAGCTTGCTTAGCCTGCATACCAGAAGCTCCAATACAAACATTTCAGAGTGTTTAGGTGTCAATCTGAGGACTGCAGAGGTTTTAGTGAGAGATAAAGGAGTCTAATGGTGATTATGAAGGTGTTTAGAGTTATAATGACATTATACCTCCATTCATTTTCCCACATGGCCTCAGACTCAACACAGAGACCAACAACAGGTGCCTTGAGGAGGTAGTGCTGCTCTGGATCAAGAGGCTGTGGAAGAGCTTATATTTGGCAACAGGACTCTGCACCATGCCACACAAGCAGGTGAACCCAGTCATGGCTGTCAGATAATTTCTGCAATCACATCAACCCTTATATCTGGCCACCTAACTCAGCTTGATTATTATGCATGGGGTGCATTTGAGCAAGAGACCAACAAAACTCCTTGTAACACCAAAGATGAAGGCAAAAATATTCAAGATGACAACTAGCTAGTTAGAAGATGGCTCTATCAGAGGCATCCCCATAATTTCATTAGTTTAGAAGCCCCCAAAAAGGTCTTAATCTGCCTCTGACCACATCTCTCTGCTTTGTCTCATTAATAATTGTGTCATGACAAGGAAAACGCTTTTTTACCTGATTTAAATGAGGAAGAGAGTAAGTATGTTTCCATTTAAGCAAACACTTCCATTACTACCTTACATGCCCAGGCAGCAATAAAAGTAAAAATCTGTTGCACTGCTTGTCAGTCTTGACAGCAGTTAGTTACGTACATATTTATTATATTTATAGGCTCAACATTCACGTTCTTCCTTGTTTTTTATGTATATTTCTTTCTTTCTCTCTCTTACTGCTTTCAATCCAACTCTGCGTCTCTCACATTGGGATGTATCTATTTTTTTTCTATAAATATTAACAGATGATTTTTCGACCGTAAATAAAACAGAAGCTTCAGTCTGCCATAAACATTATTTTTATGTGTTTTTGGCCAAAGGAAAAAAAAGAATTATAAAAATGAGTTTAAAATGAAAAAAAAAAAAAACATTTTTTGTTCAAGTCAAGAAAACAAATCAAATAATTATTCAAAAACAAAAATAAAAGTGGGAAAAATAAAAAATAAAAAATTTTCCACCTCATTACTCTAGCTTGGGAGATGAGCAAAGATAGCCATATTTATTTTATTTTTTTTAAATTTAAAAAAAAAATCGTTCAAACCAGTAGGCATGAAATATGACAAAATAATTATAGAAATTGGTACTTTATTTTTTTGGTCACCTCATTTTACAAAGTTCATCTCAGCATATAGTCTTCATAAGATAATTTTGAAATATCGTCAAAATTAGATAAAAATGTAAATTTGAATGTATTAGAATGTTACAATTTGGAGGGGAAAATATCACAGTAATTTATGGGAAAAGCCATGCACGAGAAGTTAAAAAAAAATCCCTAAAAAAAGTAACACTGCCCTCTAGCATTAAGTGTCTTTATCACATTTAGACAAAATGCAGTTACCTCCCTTGCATCTAGTTGTGTGGTATTTTTCACATGTGAAATAGACTGTAAATAGAAAATATCTGTGCCATTTATTTTCAGAATGTGTGCAATCATGGTTCCCCACAGCTTCCTGTCTTTTGTTATTCTGAGTAAAATACCTTTATGGCACCACTTTCTCATTAAAGTACTCCATCTTGTTAAGCCACTTTTTCTATAGCAACTGTTGCCATCTCTCTTTCTCTTCTATCTATTTATCTATCTATCTATCTATCTATCTATCTCTCTCTATACCCATACATGCACACATTTTGAATTTTTTTCACCCCAGGTAAGGCAATAAAGCCACTAACATGTATGTGGTTACTGAGTATGAAAGAATATGAGAAAAGAAAAAAACATTATTAAAGAGAGGGAATGATAAAAAAACTGGAATTAAGACGACAAAAAATAACAAACATTACATTTAAATTTTTGAAGATCAAAGTTGAATGGAAAGAAAGATTGATTGGTTTGTTTTTTTACAACTTTCCAACCTTTTGCAGGTTGTTTAAAGCACCCCAAAATATTTCTAGATTGTAAGAATTTTTGGGAGATAAAGATTTACTTATACAAGTCCTACTAATTAACCCATATCTGTGGGGGGGGGGAGAAGAAGCGAATTCATATCTTTCCCAAGAGTATTTGCACATAAGTGAATACAACAAACCTGACTGAATTTGGAACTTGGCATTCCAATTTCCAATTCCAAGCCGTTATCTATTAAAACTGCATTAAAACTTTCAGCACCTGGTACTGACCAGGCATGATGTTGCTTAACTTCAATGATCTTATGAGAACTGTTCTTTCAGCATCATATGGCTGCAGTCCAGCCAGAAAGCAAGAAAGTGAAAGATATTTCCATAATCAAAAAGTGTGTGAGAAGAAACTGTTAGTATAGAAATTACAGCAATTACTAACAATTTCAGCTATAAAATGAAGAGACCTAACTGCCAATTTAGTACTGTGCTTAAATTCATAAAGTGGAGGTACCAAAGAGGAATGCTCATCAGAACAATTGTAACACCATATCCTCACCTCGCTGGATCCATGCACACCACAAGACATTGGTCCAGTATTACAGGTTAGACATAAGTCTCTGGTTCCCAATGTCAATTTGAAGCCACCCTCCAGTCACTTTGTAATTGTTTTGATCCTGGAGAGTGGTCATCAGATCGTAGAAATCCAGAAGCTCACTCACATCTGCAGGGTTTATTCACTGAAAAACCACCTTTAGCCATGGATCTTAGGAACCAGTTTTATACAGCTGACAGCAGAACTAGTCTGATACTATGAATGCCACCAGTATGAAAATCCCCGATCCGATTAGGCTATTTAAGAACATAACTTCATAGGTTAATATTATCTTGAACTGGCATTTCAACTTGCCACTTTCTTACCAATATGATGTGGCTTCCCTCTGACTTTTCTGTGATTATTTTCAGTTGTTCTGTTGTTTTTTTTTTTGGTGCCTAGACTACTTGAATTTAAGTGTGCTACTAGATTGGTAACTAAGTTTCATTCTTTACTAGCTAGATGCAACTGTATGTTCTATTCTGATAGTTTCTTTTCTTACTCTTCTCACCTGTGGATCTCCCTTCTGATTTCTTGCTTCCCAGCCAACTACAATCTTCAAGAATTTAAATGCAGTGCCAATTGCCATCTTTGGTGACATTACACCTTGTTTGGGATGAAGTGATTAAAAGAAAAGTTTTGTAGCAACTTGTGATGTTCTCCATTTTTTATTTGATCTGGCTCTTGTAATAGCAGAAAAAGGCAGGTACTGTCTGAAGTGGTACAAAAAAACAAACATTTTTCCAGCATTTTTAGTGAAGGATCATATATACGAGTTTCTACTTGAGATCTGGAGTAAGCTTGAGGCCCAAGAGATGTTCAGGGCAAGGAGATTCATTGTGAATATAACAGTTTGTCAAGACTGGTGAAAACTTGGGGGTACTAATTTGGTTTTGAAGGTATTAAATATAGCAAAACAGTACCTTCACCATTGGGCTGTGCAAGCAAGGTCAGAGGGTAGATTAACTACCAAGTTCTGGTTATCTAGGTTGTTGCTGTAATACTACCAGTTTAATTAATAGTAGTAGCAAAAAAAAAAAAATGACACATAGAAATGACAGGCCATTATTGTCAGCAGCAGCGAAAAGAAATGGAATAAATGTGTTTTTATATAACTGAGTAAAGAAGCAAAGAACATGCATTAGTATACATGTAAAAGAATGAAGACTTTAAAAGTTAGGAATTATGTGAGTGATACACTCTTGTATGTGTGAAAAAACTCAGTCTGCTGGAAGAAGATAACCCCATGACTGGGACAAGGTCCCATGTGGTTTTACTTCTAGCATGCTTGAAGGAAAAGTGAGAAAAGAGAAAGAAGAGAGGAAGTGTCCCATTTTTTTTATACCTGTCTAACAGCAGCACCTAACAATGTCTTGGCTAATCTGGCAAAGCCATATAGGGGTAGCCCACAAAGTTTTCGGAGATGCAAACATAAACCATTGTATCATCTGCATATATATTTACTAATGATTAAAGAATGTTTTTAGACAGATTGTTAAGATAAAGCAGAACAAGTATAGGACTGAGAAATGCGTATCAGCCAGAGTTTTTTTTTTTTTTTTTTGTTCTATACTGAAGTCACTAATTGTGATGAAGTAATTGGTTAAGGAATAACAAAACAAGAAGTTGCAGATAAATAATTGAACAGTAAATACAACAGAAGTGTGTTACACAACTTGGAAGTGTGTGTCAGTTGACCAACGTTCAGTGTATATCACTGTTCCCCCAAGGCTTACTTTTCCTACTAACTTTATAGTAAGTGGAAGAGTCCACAATAGACTCATTAGAGGGAAGACACCACAACACTAATATTTTCAGGATTTGAGATATAGCTCACTTTGCGATGATTCGCTGTTTTTTCTCTATTAGTTCGTAATGGCCAACCTTAGACTTAGTTCATATACAATAGTCACCAATCATTGCAAAAATATCAGTAACATGATTCAGTGTACAAAGTAAGGGAGAAAAACAGATCTTGAAGTCTGCTAAATTTCATATCCAGCCAGCATTAACAGCTTCAGTAATCAGGGTGGAAAAAGCTATCTAGCCAAAGCATCTGACAAAGATCTTTATTACCTTTTCCCCATATTCCACTACCCTTTTCTCACACACAGGTTTGTTTCTCATTTAGCCTGAGGACGCCTACTATAAGGGTGAAAGGCATAGTTGAATAGCTTTCCCACCTTGTCTTCTTATCTCCACTTAACACCGAATATTGAAAAAAGGCAACAATTTTGTTATTGATTATATATTCCTGCCTACCAAGCTGCTTATTGATTGGTGGTTAATTAGATCTCATTTCCTTGCAGTTTTGCATATGGCCGTTCTGCCAATGAAATTATCCAGATCTTTTCATTATTATGAAAACATTTCTTTAAAAAAATATTTTTTTGTAAACTGCAAAAAGGTAATGTTTATATTTGCCTATTTTATTTGAGTTGTAGGAAATCTTAAAATTTAACACAACACAGATTGGGACCCTTTGCAGTGTTTTGTTTTGTTTTTAAGCTAGTATATAAATATCATTTTGTGTTTCAAAATAGCTTAAAAGTTCAGAAACAAAAAGGACACTTATACTTAACATCAGAAAGAGATAGTTGAAATTTCTAGGGAACATAATGAGGAAAATGGGCTTGGAAAATTTGGTACACACAGGACAGATTGAAGGCAAAAGGGATAGAGAAAAATAACCTACTTAGTGAGCTTGAGTAAATGGATGGCTGAACATGGTTCAGGAGAGTTAGCAAAAAGACAAAATTTATCAAGCACTACAAAGGACAGGAAATTGTGGAGAGCCATGATTGCCAACAACCTGATGGAACATGACACATAGAAGAAGATCCCAAAAATGGAATAGTTGTTGTTAATGGGTTAATCTTGAACTTGTAATAATTATCTGTCTATATCTCTGAGGGAAATAGAAAAATCAGGCATAGCTGACCATATATGGAGGGAAAAGGGAGATCACTGCCCCCTGTGGGATGAGGTTGAAATAATAGACAGAGAACATCACTGGGAAATACGAAAACTTAAGAAATCAGCACATATGCTAGGCCACAAAAATCTCCTGAGCCGACCAAGCATAGAAATGAATACAATATGGGAACCAGTAATAAAGTGTGCTAGACAAAAAGCAATGAATAACAACAAAAAATTGCGATATGAGCTCTGGTAAAAAATGCAATAATAAAAACAGAAAAAAATTGCAATATGAGCACTGATAAAAAAAATGCTTTCTGAGACATTAGGTTTATAAGTCTCAAAAATTCTAACACAGATGTCGTCAAGGACATCATGGCTGAGTGGGTAAAGTTGGTTAGATCCAGTGACTTGACTCAAAGAGTTGTGAGTTCAATACCAGGCCACAGGTGAACCAAAATTTGGAGAGTTGAGTTAAAGAGACGTGGAACTAGAACAATCTACTCCCGTGGAAGAAATAAAGGGTTTGGTTTGAAATTCCAATCACAATGGCCAAAACATTGTGAATATGGCAATGAAGATGAGGATAATGTAAATAATGCAAATAATGTAACAATTATTCCTCACTTTTCTGGCTAGCTTGAATTTTTGGTTAAAATAGAAACAAACTCTGATCAATTCTTTTTTTTTTTTTTTTTTCACTGCTGATGTATTACAGTCAAGTGAAAGGGAAAATGATTTTTATTTTTGTGTTCAATAGAATATTTAACCCTAGAACACTAACCATGGGTATATAGTACTGTTATATTTTCGTAAAAGAAAGAATAAAAAAAGGAAACTAGCTTTCTTGTCCACGTGACTTTTCACATGTTCTCATTCCTCTTTAAAAGCTGCGTTTTTCTTCCTTTTCATTCTAAATTCTTTCCTTTGTTGATTACTGACTGCTGTGAATTAAGTTCAGTAAAGCCTTAAGAAAAGGTTATTCTATCCTAGCTTTCTTCTCTGTACTACGTAACAATCGGGAGAATTTAACACATCATGTAGAACATCCTGCCAAGCACTAATTGGTAACTGTTTAGATTCCAGGGCCAATAATATGGTATTCCAAATTATGCCGTTGTAACGTTCGCATTGGCTATTGCCTCTAGGGTTATAAGCAGTAGTATTACTGCATCCAATTCCAAGTCGTGTTAGAAATTGTTTAAATTCTCCTGACATAAACGAAGTTCCTCGATCGGAGTGGAGGGAAGCCCGAAAATAGAGAAAATACTTGTCAGGCACTGAATAGCAGTTTGCGAAGAGCAATCGCGGCAAGGAAAGGCAAAGGGAAATTGACTATATTCGTCGACGATAGTAAATATATATCGGTAACCTGTCGGGGATACCGGGACAGGCCCTTTGTAGTCTATGGAAAGACGCTGAAATGGCGCAGTAGAACGGATCAGAACATTACTAGCAGAATTGAAGAATTGGGGTTTTATTTTGGCACAGGTTGTACATTCAGAAGTTACACGTCAGACTTCATCAAGCGAATACGGCATATTCTGAGACCTTACAAAATGCCAAAAGTGCTGTACCCCAGGATGTATTAAGAAATCGTGTATCGATTTAAGTTCCTTCAAGGAAGAAGCAGCAGCACCACATACTCTGGATAAGGTATCCTCAACTGTGTTTTCATTTCCAGGATGGTGTTTTATGTCGTATGAAAAGGGAAGAAGTTCCATTTTCCACCTTATAATTTTATCGTTTTTAATTTTTCTGCAATTAGCAGGTTTAAACATAAAGGATACGGCTTGTTGATCAGTAATAATAGTAAAATGTTTCCCGGCAAGGAGGTCTCTCCATTTACAAATGCATTCAACTATAGCATATGCTTCTTTTTCGACTATATGAAGTCGTATTTCAGAGGGGCTTAGCGACCGAGAAAAGAAAGCTACAGGTCGCTCAGCTTGTAAAAGAGTGCCTCCAATAGCCTTTTCTGAGGCATCGGTTTCAATAGTAAATGGCAATTCATCATCAATAACTTTTACAGATGACTCGGCAATGTATTTCTTAAGTTTTTCGAAAGAATTTATAACTATAGGAGGCATAGTGAATATTTAGGTATCCATTTGGCATAGTAAGCAAACATACCAAGACACCTTTTTAACGAATTTGAGTCGGAAGAAGGAGGCATTTGCAAAAGTGGCTTCAAACGCTCAGGATCGGGTTGGATAGTTACATTACAAATTTGATATCCAAGCACATTAATAGAACAAAGTGAAAACTCTGATTTTTTTCCGGTTTATTTCGAGGTTGTATGTCGAGGCAGCCTTTAAGAAACATTCCAAATTGACGTCGTGCTCCTCCTGGGTTTTACTACAAACAGTTATATCGTCTATATACGAAAAGGTTCCAGATAATTTGTTATCAGAAATGAAAGAATTCATAAATCGAAACCTCATTAGTAACACCCTCAACGATAGGGTCATATTTACCTCTGCCACTGAATCGTTTTAATAATACCTCCCCAGGTTCACAGAGCCAAACAGGCAATGCAGTACCGGTGGAGGACCGCCTTTCAAAATTGAACATTCATTCATGGGGGGTTGCATTCGTAGTAACAAGTAGCCAGCGCAAATTTTTCTATTTTTAATTACAATTTTCAGTACCTGATTTTCTTACCTAAATAATGTTTTTTACTTCCTATTAATGTTAACTGAAAGAACAAGGTTTGAAGTCATCGTGTACCTCCACTTCAATCTGTATTTATGGCTGACACCAGCCAATCATATTACAGTGAGGGGGAACCCAGGTGTATGCATATTCATTACATCAATATGTAAGCCTTCTTTTTCTCACTAAAACCAAACAGTATCTTTGATATATTTTTCTTCTCTCTTTCCTTAAAATTCATACAGAATGGTCCATTATTTGTCTGAGTTAATGATAAGGTGGGAATTAAATTGGTACCCACCACAAAACTTGTTTTTATACCCTTATTTCTCGTGCCACAAAAACACAACTTCAACATATTCCAGTTCAGCAGATGTAAACAAATAGTTAGGGATTTACTATGTCTACCACTGGTATGCTGAACATTTATGGGTTAGATTAGCTATTAACAGAGTGTAACACAAATGCTAATTATAATAAATTTACTAATTAACAGATGAATCAGCAGAATGATGATATAATATGTATAATAAAGTTTGTCTTAGGTAAATTCATTAAAGGTATTTTTTTACCTTAACCCTAGAACACTAACCATCAATTAAAGTTATACTTTTATCTTACCTGATTTTAAAAATATCAAAAAAAAATATTAAATATAAATCTTTATTTGAAATATTTTAATGCAGGCACTTCAATGTAGTATCCTCATTTGGTTTCAAGAACCCCCAAGATGCATGTGGACATGAAAAAGCCAACAAAAGGGAACATCAAGAATGAGAAAATGTAACAATTGATTTAGAACAGCAGTATTCACTTAAAATATTTTTTCAACTGTTATATTTTTAAAAATCTGTATGCCCCAAATGTAAAAATAAAATATGAAAATAAAATATTGAAAAATAAATTTGAATTAAAAGAAGACATTTGCTCTCCTTAAAAACCCATTTTCTTTCTCTCTCTTCCCTTTTCTCACTATACTTCTCTCTCAACTAATGAGAAGGAAACTCTTGTATAAAAAGAGGAAGAAAAAGAAAAGACTGAACAACAGTTTGTTAGTCTAGTGTCTAATTATTGTGAGTAGAAATCTACCAAAATAAGAGTGGCTCCATGCATAATTTCCACTATAAAAAAAGAAAGACAGGAATGCTGCAAAATAAATAAAAGAATTTTGGCCAATCAAAAGAACAAAGAGACTTTTAGTGTTGTAACCAAGAATCATGCCAGCTAGTTTAGTGCCTTTCAAAATTGTATATAAAGAGATGGCTGATATACAGCAGTAGCAGAGACAGCCAGAA